TTCCCACCTTACAATACTTGAAAAAAGAAAGGAAAAATTAAATCTACAGCAAGCAAAAGTAAGGAAATAAAGATTACACTGAACATTAATAGAACAGAGAAAAACAATAAATGAACATTTTATTAATATTTTATCAATAAAAAAATAAACAAAAAAGAAAACAATAGAGAACATAATAAAACCAGAAGTTGGTTCCTTGAAAAAAATCAACAAAACTGACAAACTTTACCTGGACAGACCAAATGAAAGAGAAGATTCAAATTAATAAAATCAGGAATGAAAGAGGGGATTTTACTAGCAACCTTTGAGATATGAAAAGCCCAGGCCCAGATGGCTTCACTTGTATATTTTAACAAATATTTTAAAAAGAATTAATACAAATCTTCCACAAAATCTCACAAAAAAATGAAGAGGAGAGAACATTTCCTAACTCATTCTATGAGGGCAGTATTACCACAATACCAAAATTAGGCAAGGATACTGATATAGGAGGTGCTCTGTTTCCCTGGGCTTGGGTTTCAGGACACACCTCTGGGTTTCAAGCCATTCCCTGAGGTCTCAGGCCCCTCCTCTATGTCCTCTCCTAAAGGAAAGTTACTGTTGCTAGTTAGACCTATTTTCATCACCAATTCGGGAAAATGAGACCACAAGTGGCTGGCTTATGCAAATCCAATGGTTGGGCATACTCAGTAGAGAGGGGTTATGTAACCCTGATGGCTGGGCATGATCGGTAAAGTGGAGTTTATCCTCTGAATGACCTTCCACTAGAGGTAGTAGAGAGCACAGAATATTCCTGAATATGCCTGATGCATGTGATGGGATCTGACCAATGAACATGCTCCAAGAAGAGACCAACTGAGCATGTGCAAGACTAATGTTACATAACTGGGAACCATCCCCTTAATTGAATATTCATTAGACAGAGAAACTATAAAAGCTGAATCCCAGCAAAAGGCCAGGTCATTGCTCACTTTCTTTGAGGCAACCTGCACTTTGCTGGCTGAGGTGTGTACACTTTACTTTGTATCAAACTTACTTTCAGCAAGCAGCTACTCACTCTCTTGAGCCAGCCTGCATTCTGTACTGACTTTAAGTACGTGTTTCCTGCTTTTGTGTTAAACTTGGAGTAGGCCCTGCTCAGTCTCCCCAGCTATGCTGCACTCCCTCTGTGGAACCTGTATTTCTCATCTATTATATTAAACTTGTTCTCACTTTCTACTGTGACTCTGCCCTTGAATTCTTTCCTGTGGAGGAGTCAAGAACCGCATAAGAGGACTGGGTGGGTTGAGGCTGACTATCGGGTCCCCCAGAACCTACCTCCAACATTAATATCACAAGAAAAGAAAACTATGGACCAATTTCCCTTACGAATATAGGAGAAAAATCCTCAAGAAAATACTAGAAATTTGAATCCAGCAATATATAAAAAGGATTATACATCACTGCCAAGTGGAATTTATTTCAGGAATGCAAGGTTGGTTTATCAATCAAAAATTATTTAATTAATGTGATACACTACATCAATAGAATAAAGGGCAAAAATTACATGATCAGCCTAATAAACATAGAAAAAAAACTTGAGAAATTCAACACCCCTTTATAATTTTAAAAAACACTCAAAAATTAGCAGTTGAAGGAAACTTTTTCAACCTAGTAAAGGGCATCTACAAAAAAAAAAAAAAAAAATTCCACAGCTAATATTATACACAATGAAGACAGACTGAAAAGATCAATAACAAGGCAAGAATGTCTGCTCAACACTTCTATTCAAAACTGTACTGGCAGTTTTGCCACAGCAATTAAGCCAAAATGAAAAAGAAAGAAAAAAAGAAAAAGCATCCAGATTGGAAAGGAAGAAGTAAAATTATCTCTGTTTGCAGATGACATGATCTTATACATAGAAAATCCAAAGGAATCCACTAAAAAACAATTAGAAATAATATACAAATTCAGCAAGAATGCAGGATATAAGATCAATACACAAAAGTCAATTGAATTTCTGTATACTTGCAATGAACAATCCAAAAATGAAATTAGGAAAGTGATACCATTTACAATAGTATCAAAAAAATAAAATACCTAAGAATAAATTTAACAGAAGTGCAAGACTTGTACACTAAAACAACAAAACTTTTTATTTTTTTAATTTTTTTAATTTTTTTTTTGTGTCCAAATTATCTCTGTTTGCAGATGACATGATCTTATACATAGAAAATCCAAAGGAATCCACTAAAAAACAATTAGAAATAATATACAAATTCAGCAAGAATGCAGGATATAAGATCAATACACAAAAGTCAATTGAATTTCTGTATACTTGCAATGAACAATCCAAAAATGAAATTAGGAAAGTGATACCATTTACAATAGTATCAAAAAAATAAAATACCTAAGAATAAATTTAACAGAAGTGCAAGACTTGTACACTAAAACAACAAAACTTTTTATTTTTTTTATTTTTTTTATTTTTTTTTTGTGTCCAGCAACGGATCGCAACCCTCAGTGTCGCACCCGTACCGGACCGGACCAGCAACGGGATCGCAACCCTCAGTGCTGTGCCCGCACCTCGCTCAGCCAGTGAGCGGGAACCGGTCTGTATGTGGGATCCGAACCCTCGGCGGGAGCGCCGCCACGCTCCCAAGCGGCGCACTGTAGCAGTGCACCACCGGGCCGGCCCCCAACAAAACTTTTAAAAAAGAAATTAAAGACAACCTAAATTAATGTAAAGATATTCTGTGTTCATAGATCAGAAGATGTAATATTGTTAAGATGGCAACGTTCCCTAAACTAATTTCAACACAACCTTTTTTTTAAAAAGAAATTTTTTTTGCAAAAATTGACAACATAATCCCAAAACTTAAATGGAAATTCAAGGGGCCTAAAATAACCAAAATAATCTTGAAAAAAAATAAGGTTGGAGGACACTCCAAATTTCAAATATTAGTATATAGCTGCAGTAATCAAGACAATATGGTACCGGCATTTAGATACACATACAGATAATGGAGTAGAATACAGATTTCATAAGTAAACCTTCATTTTTATGGTCATGTGACTTCTTTACAAGGGTGTTATGAAAATTCAATGGGAAAAAAAGTTTTTTTAACAAGTGGTATAAAACAACTGGATATCCACGCGCAAAAGAATTAAGTTGGACCATACCTCATACTATATACAAAAATTAACTCAAAATAGATTAAAGATCTAAATCTAAGAACTAAGACAATAAAAATCATTGAAGAAAACATAAGCATAAATCTTTGTGAATCTGGATCAGGTACTTGTTTCTTAGCTATGGCACCCAAAACATAAACAAGAGAAATAATAGACTAGACAATCAAAATTTAAAACTTTTGTGCTACAAAGGACAATATCGAAATAATGAAAGGACAACCCAGGAAACAATATAAAACATTTGCAAATCATATATCTGATGAAGGACTTGTATCCAGAATATGTAAAGAAATCTTATAATTCAGTAACAAAAACTCACATAACCCAACTTAAAAATAAGCTCAGGATCTGAATAGACACTTCTTCAAAGACACACAAATGACCAACAAGCACATGAAAAGATGCTCAACATCACTAATCATTAGGGAAATGTAAATCAAACCCACAATGAGATACCTCTTCACACCTACTAGGATGCCATCATCAAAAAAGACAGATTAAGCTGGCAGGTTACCTAAGTTGGCTATAGCACAGTATTATAACACCAAGGTCAAGGGTTCAGATCCCACACCAGCCAGCAGCCCCCACCCACCCAAAAAACCAAAATGAGATAAAAAAAACAAGTCTTGCCAAGCACATGGAAAAACTGTAACCCTCAAACATAGCTGGTTAGAACTTAAAATGGTACAGCCACCTTGGAAAACAGTCCGGCAGTTCTTTAAAAGGTTAAACACAGAGTTATCATATGATCCAGCAATTGCACTCTTAGGTATATACATATTCAAGAAATGAATAACTCTGCCATTAAAAGGAAAAAGGAAAAAATGGTGTCCAGGATAAAGCAGAAATGAATAACTCTGCCATTAAAAGGAAAAAGGAAAAAATGGTGTCCAGGAATAAGAAATAAGAGCAATAGTTTCTTCTTTTACTGAAATTGATGTAGAAAAGTTTAAATAAAGAGAAACCATAAAAGATCTGGTTGACATTGCTTTTGTCTTGCTGTTTTCAAGTTTCATTCTTAACAACGTAATTGGTAAAAATTTAAAGACTGTAGCCTTGAGTTTACTTTTACTTAATACATAGTTGATTGTCAAGATTTTTATCATACAGTATTCAAGCCCTATGAAGAAAAGGCCACCTGTGATATGTTTCTCACTCAGCACACATGGGTAATGCTTCACTCAATGGTTATACCTTGACATTTCAGAAAACAAAATGACTGCGCCCTCTGGAGGACAATGCCTTTTATTTAATCTGTTATACATATCACACTATTATCATGACCACATCAGCATCATTATTAACAGAAAATCCAAACACTCCCATTCCAATCTAAACACTGACCCAATAGTGTTAAAAACTAGAAGCTCAAAAGAGTGTGGTACACTTGTAGGATTTCCTACACTAAATAAGATAGTTTTTCTAAACACAAGAAGAATTCAAAGCGGATTGTCCTTACACTGGCAATACATGTCCTCTACCATCACCTTCTAAACTGCCACATAATCAATAAAACCCAGTAAGGAATATTTATGTATAATTTATATGCTGTAGTACTTGACAAATCCTCTAAAACAAAACTTTAAATGTGTTCATCAATTGCAGAATTCTTAACAAAATCTTTGATAGTAAAAGAGTTCTGAAAAACACAGAAAGTAAATCCATGAAAACTTAAGAGGCAGCAGAGAAATTCTCTCTCAGTTTTGAAAACAAAAGTGAATTGTAACCAAAAGGAATTCTTTGGTAATGAAACCAAAAACATACTGTTTTCTAAAAAACAAAACAAAAACAAAAAACATACAGAACTTCAATCCTTTATTACTTACCACAGCATTTGCCATTTGCAATTTGTCTTCATTAATAACTTAGTTTATAGTTGAACACACTCCGGTTAACTAAAGTTGTATACAATTGGGTTAACAATCTGATTAAAGAAGTCAGAACTTAAAATTACTGATGGGAATGGCCAGATCCTAGCTACAGAAATTTCTTCAGTATTCAAAGAGAATGGCACCTGGCAAGAAGAAACAGTACAGGTAAACAAATAAAAGTAGTGAGAACAATTAGAACACCTAATAAGGGTGTTGGCACTGGCATTCATTTTTCTGTTAATTTAAGAAGTGATAATCATTCATTTATTAAATGAAACAGGGAAGACATTAAATACAGAAAATAATGAATTACTTAATTACAGCAAATTATCACTTACAGAAGAAGGGCAAGATTACGAAACTCTTCAAAGTGACTTGATACTCTCATATACCAACAGTATATAAGAACACCTGGTTTCCCATATCCTTTCCAGCTGTTGATACTGGTAGACTCTTTATTTTTACTAATCTGATGAGTACAGATTGGCATCTAGTTATAACGTACACAAGAAGACATTTTTAAGAATACTCACTGCAAAAAAATAGCAAAAAACTAACATCTACTAATGGAAAGAATAAAAAAATAAATCAGCGTATCATAGATTAAGTAGTATGCAAAAGTTAAAACGAATGACTATGTAACAACACATATAAGTTTTAAATATAGAGCTGGATGAAAAAAGCAAGTTTAAAAACCAGACCAAGCAAAATGTAAAAGCAAGCTTGATAATGTTTATAGATGTATATGTGGTTAAAAAAAAAAAAAGTTTTCTAACATAAATGGGAAAGATATTCATAAATTTCATGATAATGATCATCTATGAGGAGAGAGATAAGGAAATGGAATTTGGAAGGATAAAAACAATGGTTCAGGGCTAGACGATTAGCTCAGTTGGTTGGAGTGCAGTGTTATAACACCAAGGTCAAGGGTTCAGATCCCCTATATTTTGGTTTTGGCTAGCCACCAAAACAAAAAAAACAAAACAAAAAAAACCAACAGAATGTTTCAATGGTATCTGTAATATTCTATTTCTTCTTTTAAAAAATGATATGTAACATCTAGGTACCAGGTAAATAAGATGTTCTGTTATTCCCTTATTGTATTCTGTGTTTGAAGTATTTAACAATTTTTTAAAAAATAAAAGCAATCTAACTGCTCAATCACACAGAATTGGTTACATTATAGTGTAATTAAAGTATTGTAATAAATTGCAAAATTTTGAATGATGACATAAACATATATTTTTACATGGAAAGGTATCCGTGATATTGGATATGCCATGATATTGCCACATTTTTAAAAGTTGCAAAATAGCACATATAAATGTAAAAAATGAAAGCATGAATGTATCTATATAAATTCACATAGTTGTTCCCAAATGTCTACCACTATAATCTCTTGGTTGTTGACTTATGTGTGATTTTCATATTCTTCTTTATAAATGTCTATATCATCTTAATTTTTATGGTGGGCATATATCACTCTTATCATCAGAAAAATATTTTGCATGGACATAGAAATAAAAAATTACTCTTTTACCATATGAAATTGAGAAAGCCAGAAAGAAAATCTAATGAAAACTACTAAGTGAATAACAAAGATGCCAAGTAATGAAATGGGAAAGTGGGGTGTGTGTGTTGATTTATGAAATCAAACATCTGAAACTCCTTTGACTTCCAAGGTGGTAAGAGACTTAAATACAGCAAAGTGGGTGAGTCCAAGGATAGAAGAGTCTAGAGCCCAAACTATAGAACAAAGGGAAGGAACCAAAGTTGACTTTGGGGAATTCCACATAAAATGGACATACGCAGATGCTCCCTCTCAGGCCTTCTTCCTGACTCTTTCTCCACTTCCTCACTTCTCTAAGTGATAATTTGCCATGATGAAATAATTCATTATTTTCTACATCAAATGAAATGCTGTAGTCCCTGCTTTGTTTAATAAATAAATAACCATTACCTTTGAAATTAACAGCAAAAGGTTTATTTTAGAAGCTCAAAATTCACTACAAAAGTATTCTTTTTATACCCCCTAATTTCATGCATTTGAAAATGTGTTTAGATCTTAAAATTCCTATTTTATGTATAACCAGGTGCTTTTATTCCTCATTTTGACAGTCCTATTTCTTTACTTATCCTTTGAAAAAAGGAACTCTGACCTTTGTTTTAGTCTACAAATTCAAGGTGATGCTGTGACAGTTCACAGTTCCTCAAAAAAGACTGAGAATGATAAGTGCTGAAGAGGTTGCAGAGAAAAAGGAACTCTCATACACTGTTGGTGGGGGCTACAAAATGGTGCAACCTTTATGGAAAACGATATGGAGGTTCCTCAAACACTTACAGATAGATCTACCATATGACCCAGCGATTGCACTGCTGGGAATATACAGAGAGGAATGGAAATCATCATGCCGAAGGGATACCTGTACTCTAATATTTATTGCAGCTCTACTTACAATAGCCAAGAGCTGGAACCAGCCCAAATGTCCATTATCTGATGAGTGGATAAGGAAACTGTGGTATATCTACACAATGGAACACTACTCTGCTATAAAAAGGAACGAAATACTACCATTCGCAACAACATGGATGGACTTAGAGAAAATTATATTAAAAGAAACAAGTCAGGCACAGAAAGAGAAATACCACATGTTCTCACTTATTTGTGGGAGCTAAAAAATAAATAAATAATAAAACACACAAACAAAAAAGAGGGGGGGGAGAATTCAGAATAACCACAAAAATTCCTTGAACTATTTAAGTCAAGTGAACAGATATGATGGGGGGGTGGAGAGGAATGGGTAAAGGGGCATGAAAATCAACTACGATGTATTTTGAGAAGTAAAATTTTTTTAAAAAGAAATGGGGAATGAAAATTAATTAATTAATTAATTACACTAAATTAAAGTTTTTAAAAAACAGAAAAAACAAACAGTTCCTCAGGATGAGGAAGTCCAGCACACTGAACCTTAAGCAAGGCTTTTTCACATCACAAAATTGTATAAGTGTCCTGGAGAGAAAATTAAGTAGCTGGTGTAGAGCAACTTCTCTACAAAGAAACAAAACAAAAAGGAACCAAACAACCACACTCTTTTACAATGTTTGCATTTTCCTTCACTAGAAAAACAAACAAAAAACTCTTCTTATCTCGTATTAAACAAAATCATTTCTTATAATAAGAATCTTAAAATTGTCCAGTTAGCTCAGTTGGTTACAGTGTGTGGTGCTGATAACACCAAGGTCCAGGATTCGATTTCTATACTGGCCAAACACCAAAAACAACAACAACAAAAAAGAATCTTAAAATTAATTGGTAAATTAATTTTCAAAGAACTAGTCTAGTTTGTGGAAAATTAACGGGTAATTATATGGGACACTAATTTAATGAATAATGATGAGGGGAAATAAATCATACATCATATAAGGAACTCTTATTTGTACCTTTGTTCTGGATTTTAAGAATGATATGGTCAAGGACAAATCGGCATCCCATGATCTTCACCTCCTGTATCTTCTTCCTCTTCAACAAAAAGAATATACCCTGAGTACCAGATTACAAAAACACTATATACAAGGATCATGGTAAATCAAGCCCAAAAAGTATGTTGCTGAAAACAAGATTTGCCAATGATAGTTATACTCAGGTAATCTAATGCTGGGCTTACTTAATCAAGGCTTCCTTTTCAGAGCTAAAGCTTGTTTTCAATTTTTTAATAATCATCATTATCTTCTTTACCTGTCAAGGCATTTCTTAAAAGAAGAGAAACAAGAAACCTGGAAAAGCTTGATCTTCCTGAGACTGGTCCTCATGTGTAACTAAATTATTCCAAGTATACTGATAACAGAGTCTAGCAAGAAGCCTTGCTAGCATTACAAATCTACATGTAAAGTCTTGGCTACTCCATAATGATTCTTTAATAGTTGGTTATCCATTTGAAAAAAGTAAAAGTAGAGTATTATCTCATACCATACAATAAAATAATTCTGGGTAGATTAAAGACCTCCTAACCATGCAGGTGGGGGTGGGGGAAAGGGAATCTTTACCCATTTTTTGAGAAAACAGAACGAAGTACTTCAGTACCTCAGGGTAGGAAAAGACTAATGAAGACACAGAAAATGCAATATGTCAAAAAGGGTATCTGCATTAAAATTAAATTTAGAGGCCTGGCCAGTTAGCTCAGTTGGTTAGAGTGGGGTGTTATAACACCAAGGTCAAGGGTTTAGATTTTCATACCAGCCAGCTGTCAAAACAAAACAAACAAACAAAAAAGGAAATAGTAGTAATTAAATTTAGGCATTACAAAAGGCAACTTAAAAGTTAAAAAGCAAGAAGTAGAAAATATTTATAAGGCGTATAACTAAAGGATTAGTGTCTCGATTCCTACAATCAATATTTTTAAAACTAACAAACCAATAGAAAAATGTGCAAAAAATGAAAACGAAGACAATTCAAAAAGAAGAAACCTGCTTGACCAAGGATGAGACCACCCTATAAAAAGACTATAAAAAGGTAACCTATAAAAAGATGCTCAATATCACTCATCCAGGAAATACCAAGTAAAAACAATAAAATACCATTTTACATCCATTAGATTGGCAAAAATTTAATTCTGACAATACCAAGTCTTCACAAGGATGTGACAAAACAGTAACACTTGAATGTAGTTCCCCTCAGCAAGGAAGGGAAGAGAATAAGGTTATACATCAAACTCAGAGGTCAAAGACCTCTTGAAATGTTTAACGAGGATCCTCTATGATGAACTACCTGTGAGTGTCCAACTCTGAACAATGATCACACCAAATGATATCTCATTGCTAGACATCTTACCAGGTATTTAGACTTAAGGGAACATATTAATCCCATACATTTAGACTTAAGGGAACACAATAATCCCATTTGATCTGAGGCATAGCCACTTCTGGCTTAGTAAAAAACCACAGACACTGGAAACAGTCCACCAACCCTAGCTACCATTCTAAAAGAGAACAATCTTTAGAAACACCATCTCAGTCGGGGATTTGTTCTGCACACTATGATAGTCTTGACACTGTCAAGGCTGCCCAATTTATGTTTGCTCCCTATGTGGGAGGGTAATAAAGACCCTGAGCAATTCTTAAGTTGACTTGTATTTGTATAAAATGAAACAGGGAGTTGGGGGCAAGGGCTAGCATCCAGGGAACTGTCTATGTAGGATATTAACCCATTTTTATGTACACCTGCTATGATTTCAAAGAATATAAGTTCTTGGGAAATGAAATCCGTACAGTGACAATTTAGATCAAGTGTTTCCTAACAGGACTTCTAATAGAAACAAAATTGTGCACCTCCAAAGCACAAATTTCAATAAACATGATTCTCCTAGAGACTCTTATTTTTATCAGTATACCAAAAACTGCTGCCTTCCTGTAGCTCCTTTATATTCATGTTTGATTAAAGCACTCTAACCTAGAAATGAAAAACACAATAGATTTTTGACCGTTCAAAAAAAAAAGAAGCAGCAGCAGTCACTACCAAAGAAATTCTCATTTGGACCCTAAGCAAACAGACTAATAACGGTATAAATTAACTAAGAGTCCTATTCATTTGGCTTTTAGAAAATCCTAGTCTGACTTCCCAGAAAAATAGAATTCTAAAAATCTAGAAGGCAAAGAATAAGAATAAAGCTAATAAATACCTTCTCACTAATCTGACACTGCCTAACGGGGCAATAAAGAATAGGTTGATTCGGGGGAAAATTAAAGTATATACTTATACTGTTAAGTAACACTGCTTAAAACGTTTAAAATATTATTTTTCCAAAGACAAGAACTTGTGTTTTCCAAAAAGAACTGTTTTATGGCTCTGAATTCTGCCCAAATATATTATAAATGCACCGATTGAATGAACTGCAAACTAGTTGGGGTTATTAATGATACTCAAAGGTTACAAGGTCTAAAAAAGGTTATATGGAGGGGCCGGCCCGGTGGCGCACTGCTACGGTGCGCCGCTTGGGAGCGCGGCGGCGCTCCCGCCGAGGGTTCAGATCCCACATACAGACCGGTTCCCGCTCACTGGCTGAGCGAGGTGCGGGTGCGACACTGAGGGTTGCGATCCGTTGCCAGACACGAAAAAAGACAAAAAAAAAAAAAATTAAAAAGGTTATATGGAAAAGGCACCTTCCAAAACAGCCAATTAAAATATAAAACTGAAAACATAATGCTTCCCTATATAAAAATATAAAATCTTTCTTTTAAAACTTCTACAAAACCCCATGCCACATATTAATCCATGCTAAGATTCACATTTTTGCATTAAATTCAAATAGCTAAAAGGTTCCTTGGCTTTCTGATTTTCCTATATTTAAATAGTATTTTTTAAAATACAGAGGAGGACAAATATGCTTTTAAATACTATTAACTTACTATTATGACATATGTAAATGTAATGCAAGCACAGAATTTCAATTGATAAGTGATATTCAACAAATATCTGATGTTTCTATAAGACCTACAGAAACTACCCCACCTAAATTCTCTGGGCAAAGTTTAAAAGTAAGGTATTTCCCAGCTAAGTCTCTTAATAACCACATTGTATTTTTAAATTAACTTGGTTATATTTTTAACATATTAATTTCATTGGTTGCATAGACAACACACGATAGTGAGCCACACCACTTCATTATCACCATGCCCTCCTTATAAATAACGAGTAGTGTATTAGTCCGTTTTGTGTTGCTATAAAGAAAATACCTGAGACTGGGTAATTTATAAAGAACAGAGGTTTAGTTGGCTTATGATTCTGGGACAGATGCATCTGGCACAGTCTCAGGCTGCTTCTACTCATGGCAGAGAGCGGCAGGCAGCCGACGGGTACAAGCAGATCACATGGCAAGAGGAAGCAAGACAAGGAGAGGGGAGTGGCCAGGGTCTTTTAAACAACCAGCTCCCACAGGAACTAATAGAGCAAAATCTCACTCAAGCCCCCTCTCCCCCAGGGAGAGCTTTAATCCATTCATGAGGGATCTACCCCCATGGCTCAAACAGCTCCCAGCACTGCCACATTGGAGATCAGATTTCCACATGAGTTTTGGCAGGGACAACACATCCAAACTCTATCAAGTAGGTTGGCATTTTTAAATCTGACTTTGAGCCATGACAAAACCAGTCATGCAAGTATAGAAGCTATCCATAATACAATAATTTGTTAGAACACTGTCTCTTTACTGTCATAGTATTTCACTTTTGCACTTACCCTATACTGTTATAGTGCAACAAACAGGCAGATATTTAACACTATTCTTTCTTAGGCAGTGAATAAACAAATTTGTCAAAATATCTTTTAAAATGTCAACCAAATTTACAGTAACACAGTAACAGAGGATCACCAATAAGACTGGTTATCAAGAGTTAATGAAACTCTTTAAAACAAGCTTACTAAAAGGAAAGGCTAGTGAGAAGGAACAATCAGTCTGCTCCCTATGCTAGATTAAGAGGTTGCCAGTTTAAAATCTTTGGTAATCAGAGATGCAAATTAAAACAAGATAATACTTTTTTGCCCATCAGACTGGCAAAAGTTAAAAAGGCTGATAAGTGTTGACAAGGGTATAAGGAGATGGTTATTCTCATACACTGTCAATGGGAATAAATTAGTATAGACTTTTGGAAAAGTAACTTGGCAGTCTGTGAATATTTTAGATGTATATACCTATTGACTCATCAACTCCACTTATAGACCTGTATTCTAAAGGAATAACTGGACTTGAATAAAAAAACAAAATATCTGTTATAAGAAAATGGCTAATAAGCACTGCATGGTATTCTGTAATATGAATAAATGCCATGCAGAATACCATGCAGTGCTTAACACGAACATGCTAGATTTATAGGTGCTGTTGTGGAAAGTTGTCTAAGACATAGGGGAGGTGGAGGAATCAAATTTCAAGGTAATCGCTGCAGTAGATATTTGTCATTCACAGTGACCCAAATTTTCTGAACCCACTATGAATCCCATCTTCCCAAAGTAGAATAAAACAACAAAAATAACAACTAAAAAACTGTTCTATATTTCCCAGCACCTATCACGGCTAAGTACAAGAGTACTTCAAAAAGTTTGTGGAAAAATAGAATTAAAAGATAATACAAATCTTTCTGTGAACTTTTTGAAGTACCCCTGTATTTCACCTAAGTATGTAGCTAGTAACTATGTGGCCTAGAGTCTATCAATCAGAAAAATCCAGGTGTTGAATGTGGAAGTAGCCGTGTGAGGAAATAGTCTGGCAAAGGATATCTTTGATTAGCAGGTGGCAGTAGAGGCAGAATGCTTCAAAGTAAAACTACAGAGGCTTCCTGATCAGAGAAGAGGTGATACGGTTTGAGGGTCCAGTGGCTGCACCAATCCTCCATGCAGTCAATTCTGCAAGGTGGTTCTGGGTTTTATTCCTGAAACAGTTAGGAAATTGCTTCTTAAAGCCACGATACTCTGAAGATCTTTATACCTTTACAAATCCCTTTCTGGGTAAAACTAGCTAGAGTTTTAAGAACTATAAGAATTAAGAAGAAGCCTGTTATATAAGAAAATAGTAACCATTTATAAGCTTCACAAGTTCATGAATTTATGAACAAAAAAGAACTAAAAAACACTACATGTTCAGAAAAGGATCTGAAGGCTTATAGAATCACTAATAATATGTAACTCTGAGGAAGGAAATATAACTAATGTGTATGTATAGGATGGAAAGAGCAAAGAAAGGTGTTTCCTCTTTCTTACGTATACTTCTTTTCTGTTTAAATATTTTTACAAAGAGAAATAGTCGTATAACGCTGGGGACATTTTCTAAGTAATTTAAAAAATTTTTAAATATTAAAAGCTGATATTCCCCTCCCAAAAGAGCCTGCCATCCTAATTGAGAATAATAGGTTTATGGTACTTCAGTAAGGAATTTTAAGAAAAAACAAACCAAAACTATTCTGTGGTACATAGCTACACAGAATTACAATTTTATGTATTCTAATTTACATAATGTAAAAATGTTATATTGTCTTGGCATAAGGAAAGATTTCCCAACCACGACCCCTTTTAACTAAATACACAAAACTTCTGAAACCTTAAAATTAAAAGATAAAGAACAAACTGGGAGAAATGATGTGAAGCATATGTGACAAACCATAGACTGATAATTGCAATATATAAACAACTCTTACAAATCAATGAGGAAAAAATAGACACCTTAATTTTAAAATGGTCAAAGAACATTAATAGTCGATTCTCTCTTCCGCTCTCTCTCTCTCTCTCTCTCTAATACACACATTAAGATGTTTAACCTCATTAGATTTTTTTTTTATCAAACTAGCAAAAATTTGATAATATCTAATATTTAAGAGGATGTGGGAAAAAGAACAGTCTCAGATACTAATGATGGAATTCCAAATTGTCCCAAACTTTCTGGAAGGCAACCTGGAAATGTACCACAAAATTTTAAACAAGCATGCCATTAATAAAGCAAATCTACATTTGAAAATGTATCCTATGGAAATAAATGGATAAATATACAAGGATAAAAACATTCATCGTAGTACTGTTTGTAAAAGTAAAAACTTGACAACCAAAATATCTACTACGAACAATTAAATAAACCAATGTTTGAAATCTATAGTATTTCATTATATTGCAAAAACATGCAGCCCTTACAATGTAGATTCTTACCTATCAGCATAAAAAGGTGACCTTAATATAAAATTAAGTGAAAAGGGCAGGAAACCAAGTAGCACATGTCTAATAGTGTTATATATAAATTTTATATGTAAGCATTTACATAAAATGCGTGCATATACATGTACAAACACGCACACATACACAGAGCACATATCCTAGAAAACAGGTCTGAAATATTATATACCAAAATGTTAACAGTGGCTAATTCAGAATAATGCAATTATAGGTGATTTTCACTTTCTTTTTCATGCCTTTTTTATAGTCTGCACTATTTACAAATGACTATTTATAGGTTTATGATAAAAACAGTAAGAAACGTTTTCATTCTTTAAATAAATGAAGAGCAGTAAAAATCACCTTATTAAATACCCTGTGCCTTTACCATGTATTACTATTTTCTTACCTTTAAACCTTCAGCTGGAAGTCTATAACCAAATCTTGCTGGAAGGTCATCAAATGTCTGAGACGCATTTTCAAAATTATACTAAATATAAAATTAAAAATAATTAAGTTAAAAGCAATTTACACATAACATTAAAAGCAAAAGCTTATTAAATTATGTAAATTGTCACTTCCACAATTCTAGTTTACTATCACAGCTTATCACAATAAAATCAAATTTGTAAATGTGCATCCATTAATATAGCAAGGAATATATGCAATTTATAACATATATAAATGCTTAAACTGGATTCTGATATATTATTATTATCAAACAGTAATGATAATTCTATAACATTCATCAGCCTATTGCTTTCTGACTTGTTCCCACAGACAATTCCCTAGTATCCCACCCTCCAGCTATCTCTGAATTCTGATCAGCCTTCTATCCTTTAGTGTCAACATAGAGGCCAGATTTAAGCAGCTCCCATGTTAATGGTTCCTTCACTAGATAACAACAACATTAATTCCAACCTACCTGCCTGAACCACAGGGAACACTGATGGCAAAAAGGATTGACTATTCTTTTATACCTAACGTTTTGTCTCTACATTAAAAAATACAACTTGGGAACTCTCATACCTTCTCAAGAGGGTGAGTAAAGGATGATCAGAATGATAATTATAAGGAAGACAAAAATGATATACAAAACATTTACTATGTGCCAGATACTTTTCTAAGCAGGCAGTTATTTAACCATCACCACAACATTCCGGTTACAAATATAGAAACTGAGGCATACAGAGTGGCCAAGTAATTTGATCAAGGTCACAAATGGTTAAGTTCCCAGGGCAGTCCACCAAAAATCATTTAATCCATTAGACAACTGGACCACAGAATAACAATCCACCTCAGGTACAAAAGAAAGAAAGAAGACAAACGAATGACAGGCATTAGAAACATCAGAGGGAAAAAAGAGAGACAGATAAAATGAAAAAAAAATCAACGAAGAGAAAGAAAAAAGACAAGGAGAACATTCCCTGATCAATCCATAAATCTCCTAATTCCTTCCAAAAGTCACTCCAAGAATATTCCAAGGACTTTGGGGAAGAATTTAGAGTAGAGATTTGAACAGCAATGGACTTAGTCCTTAAAGGTTTTATGTCCGCTCCACCTCAAAAAACCCATACTATTCCAGAAAAATTTAATCAACCAGTTCCCTGCTAAAGAGAATGGCAAAGGGTGAGAATTTTCATGTAGACTACCAGAGTGTCTCTGCCTTCAAAAGCTATGATATAGTAATAACCATCCTGGCTCTCCAATGTTCTACAATGATCCTACAGAAGGAATCATCCAGAAGTGCCACAATATGCAGAAGCATGGCTGAGGACCACATCAAGCTTTGGTTAGCAACAATTCTAGCTGTTCTATCTCTCCCTATATATCTTTAAGCAAACCACTAACAACCAGAAACTGGCACCACACTCTAACCAAGTGAGCTAACCAGCCAGCCCTATATATTTACTTTTTATTTACTCTTGCATGTTGTACCCACACTAGAGGATGCAAAAAAAAAAAAAAAGCTGCTTATTATAAAGTAATACTTTTTGCCCTTTACCTCCTAACAGTCTGTACTTTTCCCCCCCTCTAGATCCTAATGGCAACAGTGCAGCTACCTCTCCCAACCTCATTCAGTTCTTTACATGAGTCCCTATCTACCTTACAGCAAAAAATACCGTGAAAGGACTAAATATAAACTAAGTAAAAGCAAATTCTTAGCACAGACACAGAGTACAGGCATACACACACGCACACAATTCATTCCTCTTTTTCTTCCTTCTCAGAAATGAGAAATAGGAAATACATAGACTTCCTAGTGTAGAGGACAGTAAGACGGGAGCCTAGAGAAGATACAAGGTTTTGAGAAACAACTCCTCTAAGAACTTTTCTATCCACCATCAAAGATAGGAACACTGTATTTTTGTTCTGACTCATTAATGCTAATCTTAGGTTGAACTTTTCTATGGATAGCTTGTACGATTTCTTAAAATATTATATCAATAGAGATACTATTGAGATGTTATAGTCATTAGAAATATACTGGGTACCAAGAAAAACAGTAAGATTCTACATAAACATGCAAACACATAGATATGTGTGCACAAGCACTCACATACACATACACACTCTCAAGAGTGACACCATTTATTAGGTACTTACTGTGCATAAGATCTTACATTCGATTTTAAGCAATAAAAAATGAATAAGCCACCCCACTTTCAAGTAACTATGTGTATGTGCTTGGTTATGTCTGCAGGCAAACACCTTATAAGATTCCATCATTCAGGACTTTTAAAGGACATTTTTAGACATGAATAAAGTTTACTGTACTTACTGCTAAAATGTCTGCTTCCACAGGCAGTAGGTTTAAGAATGCAAAGAGCTGGACAGTCAAGATGGTGTAAACTTGTGTGGCCGACAACATGAGCATCCCTATGGAGAGCAGCATCTCGTAAAAATCACCTGGAAGACATGGACATGAGTAACAATGAGAGCTGGTCCTTTGTCCTTGAGGATAAATCATTTGATACATTAATTCCTAATGTCCAAAAAATACCCCTTTAAATTACAAACGTGTTAACATTGAAATGAAAGCTTACATTTCAAAAGCATAAGAATTTACACAGATCTGGATATTTAGGTAAATATCCAGGATTAGTCAATACCCTACATAATTCACAGTGACTAAGCTCCATGTTTTAGCCACAAAACAAACATCCTCCCACGCTGCTCAGTTTACAGTATAAGTTTGTATACTAATCCAATTTTCAGAGAAACTAGGTTTCACACAAAATGATAGTTGAAAACACCAGCATCTTTGCTTTAAAATTTTAAATTTTCTACAATTTTTAGAATTTTTAGCCTCTGGTTCAATATAAATTTACATGTAAATTTACTTTTTTTTTTTTTTTTTTTTTTGGTAGCTAGCCAGCATGGGGATCTGAAGTATTATCAGCACCACACTCTAACCAAGTGAGCTAACCAGCCAGCCCTATAAATTTACTTTTTATTTACTGTTGCGTGTTGTATACACATTAGAGGATGCAAAAAAATAGCTGGTTATTATAAAGCAATACTCTTTGTCCTTTACCTCCTAACAGTCTGTACTTTTCTCCCCCTCTGCATCCTGAGGGCAACAGTGCAGCTACCTCTCCCAACCTCATCCAGTTCTTTACATGAGTCCTTACCTACCTTACAGCAAAAAATACCATGGAAGGACTAAATGTTAACTAAATAAATATCAAAATTCTCATTGGTAAGCCTCAATCAACTATATAATATACTTTTAAACAAGTGAGAACAAAGTTTGCAAAGTCAAGAGCCTTTATAATGAATTATTTCATTAAATACTACCAATTCAGGTATAATATCAATTTTGATGATGATTACTGTTGTTAAGTACTCTGGATTTAGAAACTAACATATAGACTCAAACTCTGAATCTTTGACTCACACACTGAAAGTGAAATACCTGTGAATAACTTTTGTACTACCATCTTACAAAGCTGTTAATATCAGAGATGAAATAAAGGGGAAAACATGTTAACGTACAGATTTGTTCCACAGAGACAGGAAGTAGATTAGTGGTCGACTGGGGGAGGGAGGCCCCACAGGGCAGAGGGATGGGAGGAGAAAAGAACGTGGAGAATGGCGAATGACTACTAGTGGGTACAGGTTTTCTGAGCGGAGGGGAGATAATGAAAATGTTCTAAAATCAGATTGTGGTAATGGTTGTACAATTCTATAAATTTACTGACTGGGGGAGGGAGGCCCCACAGGGCAGAGGGATGGGAGGAGAAAAGAACGTGGAGAATGGGGAATGACTACTAGTGGGTACAGGTTTTCTGAGCGGAGGGGAGATGATGAAAATGTTCTAAAATCAGATTGTGGTAATGGTTGTACAATTCTATAAATTTACCAAAAATCACTGCACTTTACATGGGTGAATTTTATAGTGTCAAGTATATTTTACTAAAGCTGTTTTTAAAACATATAGATTTGTCAACATTAGTTTCTTAGGTAAAATACATTTAATAACATACCACTGTGCAGAAGAGTTAACACACCACGCCTGAGACTGCTGTCCTTTAGAAAGGCCTGCTTATAACGATGGCCCCTAGCTGGCATCTGGTAATTTAGATTTCAGGAGGGGTCCCACCATTTCACGGTAAGAACAGCTCATTGTGCCTAAACTTTGCAAAAAAATGTGGTTTGTGTTGAACACCTGTTTTCTTTCTGGGAGTCTGGTATTTTGGTACATGCCAGGCAGATCGTGTTACACAAACAGCCCCCAGTATAAGCCCTGGATACTGAGCCACTAATGAGCTTCCCTAGGAGACACTTCACATGTTGTCACGACTCATTGCAGGAGGAACTAAGGACATCCTGTGTGTCTCCACTGGGAAAGGTCCCTGAGAAGCTTACACCTGGTTTACATGGGACTTTACCTCAAGCACCTTTTCTCTTTGCTGCTATAAATCATAGCCACGAGTACAACCATATAATGAGTCCTATATTCGAGATCACTGAATGTGAACAATTTCTGGCCAGAAATCGTACCATAAAAATTTACAAATCCTTACAAAATACGGTACAGTTATTAAATTTTACTAGCAAGAATAAATATGCAACATGTTCACCAGTATCTGTTTGGGAAACTGAATACGAATAAGAACTATGACTTTTCTTCTACAGTTCTGGAATTTCCAGCCAACTCTGGGGGAGGTGGAAGGAGACAGAGTTTGGACGGAAAATAACTCTAAAGATATAATAATAATAATAACCATAACAACTAATATTGACTACTTACTGCTTGCTGGTAAGCATTTTATTGAGTTAACTCATGTAATCCTAACAACTCCCTCTGAGGTAGTTATCATTTCATAGATGGGAAAAACTTAGGCACTGTTAAGCAACTCGCCAGAGATCAAACAATGATGATAGATAGCACTAAAACCTAACAGTATGTCTCCAAAGCCCACACTCTTAAGCACAACTGAAAAGAGCATCAATATCCAAAGTTGATGTTCAAAGAGTAAGACAGATATGGCCCCTTGCCTACACAGGTATTCAAGTGCTTCAAATCAATGCTCACAGCACAACATTCACTGGATTATTTCCTTCTTTTACTTTGTGTATAAGTGAGTGTGTATGTATGTGTGTGTATTTAATAATATGCAGTGTGTTTTAATTTTACTTTTTTTCTTTTATTGCCTTTTTTAATTAACATTTTAAAGAACAGCCAATGTCCAAATTTAGACATATAACTTTCCAGTCTTTTAGCTATGTGTACATTCGCATACATACTTAGCAAAACTGGGGACACACAGTACAGAGTGTTTTGCTAACTGTATTCTTTTCACTTAATGTATTGTGAATATTCTCCTACTTTATTAACTATATTTGAAAAAAAATGCACCACATCATCCCCTCAAGAACCATTGCAGAGAGCTGTCCATGAGACACTTTAGAGCATCCATCTCTTTCAACCATCACTTTTTTTTTCTTAATATATTTTATATACTGGGTTTCTGTATATGATTTGCTTATACAAAATAAAAATTATTGGTCAAACATATGATGTATAATTCCTACATGATATTCCTATGTGTATTCTACAATGGACTGAACAGGGATCCATATTGTTGGAGATTTCATTTGTTTTTTAAAACTGTTATAAACTCACTAATAAATACTTTCAGTTAAACCTATAGGTACATCTTTAATTTTTTCTTAAAGTCACAGAAGTGGGTGGTAGTGTAATAATTACAGTAAGAATATGGTACCTAGCATTAGAAAGATCTGGGGTTTATGTCCCTGCACTGTCACATACTAACATTATGATTTTGAGGCAAAATGTTTAAACTACATAAATTGTTTTATCTGGAAAAGGAGACTCATAGGACCTAAAAGACAACTCTGTGGAATAAATATAATCATGCACAGAAGGGCTTAACACAACAGTGGAACACAGAAGGAAAAGACTTTGGGTGGGGATGCTAATAAATAAAACAGGAAATACAGAGGTTGAACACAGCAAATGGGATAAGTACAATTTTGAAATCTTTGAACTTAATATTTGTGGAACAATCTGGTGGACAGGCAAACAAGCAGTAGTAAAGGTCTAGAATCATGAACAAATAGGTGATAACTGAAGTGATCTTAATATAAAAGTGAAAATCAAAAAGAGGACTAAAGAAAACTGAAGAATATCTAAATTTATGAGAAAAGGAGAGTAAGCAGAGAAAGAGAGAGACTGATTTCACAAAAGTCAAGACAGAAAAGAACTGAAATGAATGGGGGGGGAGGGAAAGCAGTGGTCAATAGAAGTAAATATGAGAGAAGAAGTAAAAGATCTAAAATTTTCATTTAAGAGTCTGTCCAACCTAAACAATTTAATTTCTCCATACTCTTATAGTCAGCCTTGCTCTGATCAACTCACTGTTTCCAGGAATGTACCTTGCTGGCTCTATATCTTCATTCATGTGTCATCCTGAAAATAAATTACACTCTCCTCTACCTTCAAAAGAAAATTTGGGGAAAATTATAAATCCTGTGAAATTGTAAGCAAAATTTTGTGCATGTATAAATATATGGAGTTTCTGTAAAAAAGGTCCGTGGTTGTTATCACAGTCTCAAAAATGCACAAAAGCTTCTTTTTGTTGTTGCTGTTTTTTAAAATTTTAGTTTAAATCTTCCCTCCTCCAGGAAGTCTTCTGAGAAAGGTTAACAAGCTTAAATCCTTTAACACCCTCTCCTAGCACTTAACCTAGAGTTAAGATAAATGTAGACTGTCAATTGTGTTACTAGGCAATATCATTTTTTGTAAAAATGACTCCCAGATTGGTAAAAAGCATTTAAACTGGAAAGACTAAGTTAACTATAAAAGCTTAGTTACAAAAACATAAACAAAGAAAGGCTTTGATTCCCTGCAGTGTGTATTTCTTGAAACTAAGCATGCCCCTTGATGGAACCTGGAAGCTATTCCTGAATGGTTATACATGGTTCCTTTCATATATGACACTTTTCTATGCTGAGGTGACACACATCCACACATTTGATCTCATCAGTTACAATCCAGGACACATTTTGGTGAGTATGAAAGCTCACCTGGATAAATGCGAGGCTTCTCAATGAAGATGTATTTTATGTTGATATGCTATGCTCCTGGTCTGTATCCTCCTACAAAGCTAGTGCCAGGCTGTCTGTCAGTTATTGAGAGTATAAATGTCCATCAGAACGTCTGACCACTGCTGGTCATGCAGAGTGGGTGTTGTACCTTTCTTTCCCATTACAACTCTTACTGGCCTCTTATCCTTGAATTTATTCAACTGTTGCAGACTCTACAATAGAATACAATAAAGTATTTTTTGTCCTGACTCTTATCACCTCCAAATAGAACACATTCATCTTGAGAATATTTCTTTAAAACCATGCTTAGAGAGAACATATAGAAAAACCTG